AGATGGTGCCAGGGCCAGAGACAAAGGTCCACTATCCATTGGTTGATATCCATTCTTCTGTGGAGAATCCTGCTGGTGAGTTCCTATTACAACATTGAAATGGTAATCTCTGGGAGTTAAGGTTGCAAACAGGTAAGAACATTTTTTTCTACATTTTTATTCCACATACTCCTGCTCTCCTAACTTCCACCCATAGCATTGGCTAACTTATCTATTTTGCCTTGCCTCTTCCCATCTGAATATTTGCAAGCAAACATGTAACAATGGCTTTAAGTGGTGCTAACTGGCTTGAGAGAGTCAACTGTAAAATTTTCAGAAATTTTGTGAAGTAGTTGTTAAACACAATCATTATATATATTTATGTATTTATTTTTTGAAATGGAGTTTCCCTCTTGTTGCCCAGGCTGGAGTGCAACGGTGTGATCTCAGTTCATAGTAACCTCCGCCTCCTGGGTTCAAGCGATTTTCCTGCCTCAGCCTCCCTAGTAGCTGGGATTACAGGCACATGCCACCACGCCCAGCTAATTTTGCATTTTTAGTAGAGACAGTGTTTCTCTATGTTGGTCAGACTGGTCTCGAATTCCCGACCTCTGGTGAGCTGCCTGCCTCAGCCTCCCAAAGTGCTGGGATTACAGGCATGAGCCACCACCCCTGGCCAACACAATCATTATTAAAAATTAAATTATATAAACACAATTAATTTATATTAATATAAAATAACTCAATATTCAAAATTTATTACTTCCTAATTCCTTTACCACTTTAAACTATTATCTCTGCTCTTCAGGTTATATATCAATTATCTGGTGAAAGAGACACTTCTTTGCATCTCTTCCAAACTTGGCCCTCAGAGACTTCATGTTGGTAACTTAAAATCGGCCAGGTGGGAGTCTTTATACTACAGCAATCAGCAAATGGTGCAAATCAGGGCTTGATTTAATGTTTTGTTGATTGCCTACATTTTAGAAGTGATGGAGAAAATGTTAAATGCTGAATAAACTTAAAGTGTGTCCTGTCTGTGGCTATGATATTGTGAATAGCATAAAAAACATGAAGACATTTCTGCCAGTATTTACAAACTGTTATCTAATTTAGCAAAGAAGTCACTCACTTTATTGACGAATGAGTGAATTTCCAGCACATGGCTTATTTCACTTTCAGCTTATTCCTTAATGTAAACAAAATTATCAACCAACATTTTGTCATAACTACACTCATTTCTTAATGATGTGAGTGATTTCTGTGCTGAATTGGATAGTAATCAAGCATATATTCATAGTCTGATTTTGTGACACTATTGTTGGCATATAATTATAAAAACTGATAGTGGATTTTTAAGAAATAGCAAGTCACACTGAAGTTAAACGTATATGAAGTTTACAATAAAGAATATTATATATTTATTATTTTGTGAATTGTAGGTTACATGTTTTACATCAGCAGAATTTCTAATAAACATATGTGTACATGTATATATATATATGTATATGAGAGATATATATGCATACATCTTTTCCTGGAGATGTGGTTAATTTACAAGCTCATCACTGCATACAGTTCTTGAAGTGAAGTTGGGAGCCATTTAGTCTAAACTTTCTGTATTCAGATATTGACTAGATGAAAACTTAAAACTGCTCAACCCAGTTAAATTTATGCAAAGGTTAATAGGTAGCTGCTAGTGTATGATTTCCCTTCCAAAATGTTTATTTCCATTGCCCATGCATTAAATTCTACTTTAGCGATTTATTAGTCTGAGTTCTAAGACTTTTTGATCTTGTAAGTAGTGATTACCAAATGGGAGTCTGCTTATTGGGAATACTGGAGAAAATACAGTTTTCTAACAACACCTCTTCCCATCCAAACTTACTAAATTGTATAAAAGAATCTATCTTTTTAATGTTTCCCAGACTAGGGTTTGGAGACCATTTCTTGAATCTTGTGTTAAATATAAATAGCCCCAGAGAAGAAATCATGTAACTCAGCGACTGCCCTAGTTAGATAGGATTAACAGATAGTAGAGATCAAGACCATGTGGACACAACCCTTCTTCCCCACCTCCCCCAGGCTTTTAAAGCTGAGTGGAATAATGAATTCTGGTAAAAGGCATGCCAAGCTAACTGCAAATGGAAATTCTCTAGACAATCACATTTAACTATCTGGAAAAATATTAGAAAGGAGTCTTTCCTATTCCCTTGGCTTTTTTTCTCAGGCAGGAAATATGCTGTGTCTTCAAGTGAAGTGTTATGAAAATCAGGGATTGTTCATCCGTTTTGTGTGGGCCAGCTATATGGCTTCCCAGCATGCATGCCCATCTGTCCTGCAATAAAACCTTTAATTTTTTATGCCTGTAGTTTTTACAAAACTCTTGGCAGAAAATGGAATGAACATGATTCTGTATATCTGGTTGGTCATTTTGGGCCTATATTGCTCTTTTCTGAGATAGGTACAGAGTCTTCTAAAGGGTTTACCAGGTTTCCAATCTAAATCAATGAGAACATTCTTTTTTCTAACCCAACACATCCAGTTTGCGCCGAAATCAGCAGGTTTTCCTATCAACCTTCCAGTTAACATATATTTGCTTTTCTTCCAAGGAGAAGGTGAAGTTTGCTAAAACTAACAGGTAGAAAGTTTTTCCAACTTTTACTTTTTAGGCATGGGTTTGGAGTTTGTAAAGAAAGGTTTTGTATGATTTATTGTATTGAAAAATGCTAAGGGAGTAGGTTTTATGTGTTCTCACCCCAAATATGATAACTGTGTGAGATAATGCATATGTTCATTAGCTCAATTTAGCCAATCCACCATATATACATATTTCAAAATATGTTGTACACAATCAATGCATATATAATTGTTATTTGTCAATTAAAAATTGAAAAGAAAAGAAAAAGGCTTTGTTCAAACATCTACTCTGGTGGGTAAATAATTCAAACGTATATTTCTAATTTCTTGATTGGTTGGGTGTGTAAGTGTAAAGTAACAATTTTAAGGATAGAAACTGACACAAAACTGTGTGTCATGACAATATCTCCTTTCTTACCAGTTAAAGAAAAACTGGACATATTTGCTGACACATACATTTTTCTTTTGAATTTTTAGCTATGAGTTTGACATAGTTATTTTGGCTAAATTTTCTTGCCAATTTTGTGCTTTTCTCTGAAACAATTATTTATTTATTTTAGTTTCTTGACTCTCAGAGCATAGGGACTATAATTGTTCATACTGTTTTATGTACAGGGTGACCATAGCATGTGGAAATACAGATATTATTATTTTAATGTATATTACAATGAGTTGCCCATAAACCATTTATTCTGTATTTGTGTTTCCTGATTCAGTGGTCACCCTTTATAACCTAGAGTAAGTCATGTGGGGACTAGATATGGCTAAAAGCAAGAACAAGGTGTCTGCCCCCATCTCCCATCAGCTATCATTCATTTGGGGCAGGTAGTGGTCTTATATAAATGATCTGGAGTCACATCATCTGTGGACTTAATTTAGGAAAAATTTGTAGAATATATCACCTCAAGCATTTATAATTTTTCTGTGTTATAAACAATCCAACTATACTTTTAATTATTTTTAAATGTACAATACATTATTGTTGACTGTAGTCACTCTGATGTGCTATAAGTACTAGATCTTAGTCATTCTACCTAACTATATTTTTGTACCTGTTAGCCATCCCCACCTTCCCCTACCCCATCCTTCCCAGCCTCTGGTAACCGTCCTTCTACTGTCTATCTCCATTAGTTCAATTGTCTTAATTTTTAGCTTCCACAAATAAGTGAGAATGTGCGATGTTTGTCTTTCTGTGCCTGGCTTATTTCACTTAATATAATGACTCCAGTTCCATCCCTGTTGCTGCAAATGACAGGATCTCATTCTTTTATATGGCTGAATAGTACTCCGTGGTTTGCATGTACCACATTTTCTTTATCCATTCATCTGTTGATGGACACTTAGGTTGCTTCCAAATCTTGGCTATCATGACTAGTGCTACAGTAAACATAGGAGTTCAGATATTGCTTTGACATACTGATGTCCTTTCTTTTGGCAATATACCTAGCAGTGGATTGCTGGATTGTATGGTAGTTCTATTTTTAGTTTTTTGAGGAATCTCCATGCTGTTCTCCATAGTGGTTGTACTAATTTACATTCCCTTCAACAGTGCGTGAGGGTTCTCTTTCCTCTACCTCCTCACCAGCATTTGTTATTGCCTGCTTTTTTTGTATATAAGCCATTTTTTACTAAGGTGAGTGACATCTCATTGTAGTCTTGATTTGCATTTCTCTGATCATCTATGATGATGGGCACCTTTTTATATGTCTATTATTTGTATATCTTCTTTTGAGAAATGTCTATTCAGATCTTTTGCCCATTTTAAAATCAAATTATTAGATTTTTTCCTATTTAATTGTTTAAGCTCCTTATATATTCTGGTTATTAATTCCTTGTCAGATGGATAGTTTGCAAGTATTTTCTCCCCATTTGTGGGGTTTCTCTTCACATTGTTGTTTGTTTCCTTTGCTGTGCAGAAGCTTTTTGACTTAATGTGATCCCATTTGTGCATTTTTGGTTCGGTTGCCTGTGCCTTTGGGGTATTACTTGATAAATCTTTGCCCAGACCAATGTCCCGGAGAGTTTCCTTAATGTTTTTGTTTAGTAGTTTCATAGTTTGAGGTCTTAGATTTAATCTTTAGTCCATTTTGATTTGATTTTTGTATATGGTGAGAGAGAGGGATCTAGCTTCATTCTTCTGCATATGGAAATGCAGTTTTCCTGGCACCATTTATTGAAGAGACTGTTCTTTCCCCAATGTTCTTGGCACCTTTGTTGAAAATGAGTTCACTGTTAATGTACAGATTTATCTCTGGGTTCCTTATTCTGTTCCATTCTTCTATATGTCTGTTTTTATCCCAGGACTATGCTGTTTTGGTTACTAGAGCTCTGTAATATAATTTGAGGTCAGATAATGTGATTCTTTCAGTTTTGTTCTTTTTGCTCAGCATAGATTTGCTTATTCTGTGTCTTTTGTGGTTTCATTGAGCTTCTGCAAAACAGCTAGTTTGAATTTTCTATCTGAAAGGTCACCTATCTCTGTAACTTTGAGATTGGTAATTGTACTTTATTTAGTTTGTTTGGCGAAGTCATGTTTTCTTGGATGGTCTTAATGCTTGTGATGTTTGTTGACGTCTGGGCATTAAAAGTTAAGTATTGTAGGTCTTTCCAGTGTGAGTTTGTTTGTATCTATACTTCTTGGGAAGGCTTTCTGAGTTTTCAAAAGGAATTGAGTGTTGTGATCTAAATTATTGGTCACTGAGGCCATATATTCATTAGTGGGCACCGCGAGCCCAGTAACATTATAGCTCTTTCAGACTTGTAGAGGTACTACTTTGGTGCACCTGGGTAAGATCCAAGAAAATTTCTCGGATTACCAGGCAGAGACTGTTGTTCTCTTCCCTTATTTTCCTCCAGAATACTGGAACCTCTCTCTTTGTGCTGAGCTGCCTGGAACTTGGGGAAGGATTACACAAGCACCCCTCTGGCCACCACCACCAGGACTATACCGGGTAAGACCTGAAATCAGTACAATGCTGGGTCTCGCCTGAGTCCCACAGTGACCACTGCCTGGCCCAACATCCAAGAGCTCTTCAGAGAGCAGGTGATGAATTCAGTCAGGCTTATGATGCCCTTCCCTTCAGGGCAGTGAGCCACACCCCAGCCCAGGGCAGGTCCACGAATGTCATCCAGGAGCCGGGGCCTGGAGTTGGAAACTTTAGGAATTTGCCTGCTACTCTATTTTACTGCAGCTGACCTGGCACCCAAGCCCCAAGAGAAAGTCCTTCTCACTCTTATCTTTCCTTTCCTCATGCAGAAGAAGTCTCTCCCTGTGGCCACCACCACGTGACACCTATGGTGAGTACTGTTTGGGCTCCACTGATGTTCACTCAAGGTCCAAGGGCTTTTCAGTCAGCTTGTGGTGAATTCTTCCAGGCATGAGTCTTTCTCTTCAGGGCAGCAAGCTCTCCTGTGGCCCAGGCTGGGTCCATAAATGCCATATAGGAGCTAAGGTATGGAATTAAGGACCCCAGAACCGTGCTTAATTTTCTAACCCCCTCTGGCCAAGCTGGTGCCTAAGCTGCAAGATAAAGTCCCCTTTATTCTTCCCTCTCCTTTCCTCAAGCAGAAGGAACCTCTCCTTGTGGCCATTACAGCCGGGAATACAGTGGGTCACCTGTGAAGACAGCATGGGCCTGGGTCTCATCCAAGGCCCGTGTGACCATTCCCTGGGTACCACTGGTGTTTATGCAAGGCCCGAGGGCTCTTCAGTCAGCAGGTGATAAATCCTGCCAAAACTGGGTCTTTCCCTTCAAGGCAGCAGGTTCCTCTTGCCCCAGGCTGTGTCTAGAAATGTTTCCTGGCTGGTAGGGCCTAGAAAGGGGGCCTCAGGACTCTGCCTAGTGCCCCATTCTACCATGACTGAGCTGGTATCCAAGTTGCAAGACAAAGTCCTCTGTACTTTCCTCAAGGAGAATGAAGTCTCTCCCAGAGCTGCTACCTGGGATTAAAGGAGGAGTGATGCAAGCACTCCCTTGCTGTCCTGGCTGGTGTCTCACTAGGTTGTGCACCCAAGTCTACTGGCTCTGAACCCAGCACAGCACCAAGACTTGCCCAGGAATTGCAGTCCTTGTGGCATGGGATGCCTTTCACATTTATTTAGGACCCCAGAGCACTTTAGCCTATGTGAGGGCGCTTGCCAAAACTCAGGTTCCAACCACTGGAGTGGATGATTCCTCTCAGTCTATGGCTGGTCTAAATGCTCCCTCTGTGGGCACTGGCTGAATTCTGCCCCATGTTGATTTCTGCTGACAGGGCAGTACTGAGTTCCAATGCAAAGTCCCGTAATCACTGCACTCTCCCTTCCTCAAGCACACAGATTCTGTCTCCACACCATGGGGTCACCGTTGCAGGATTGGGGAGGAGTGATGTCAGCAATTCAAGACTGCCTTTTCTACCCTCTTCAGTGTCTCTTTCCTTGATATGATGTTTAAACCAGGTACTCTGATTGCTCATCTGATTTTTGGTTCTTATGAAGGCTGCTTTCTTATATGGATAGTTGTTTAATTTGGTGTTCTTTTTGGGAGGATGATTGCTGGAGAGTTTTCCATTTAGCTCTGCTTCTGCCTGTTACTATTGTCTCAATTTAAGCAACCTTAACATGAGGGGGTTAAGAAGAGAGAGCGAGAAGAGACAGAGAAATAATAGAGGTGATTTCATCATTCTATTCAGTGTGTCTATGACCTCAAAGTAAGTGTGAGAGGGAAGGTGTGAGCTGTTGTTCTTCCTCAGGTGCTCTCAGTTCTTTCATGCTTCTCATAGAATGAGATCATAATGTGAAATTGTGATTCAAACGTTCATCATTTATTGGATGTTAAACCAGAAGGTTTAATCTATGTCTGGAAGGAAAGATATGATTGACTTATTGAGAAATGGTGTATTGGTTTTGTATGTGGGTCTTTTAAGAGACTTTCAATAGCAATTTTGACCATATTTGACTTTTTGTCTTATGAAATATAAAAACCTAAAGCCTAACTAAGGAGGTAAGTCTACTATAGTTATTTTCATTTCTACCGCATAGATATACAGAACAGAGAACAGAGAGGCAAATTCACTTATTGACCTAGGTACTGGTGGTTATTGTAATTTGGCTAGAGAATCAAGAATGCAAATAAACTCCGATTTGTTGAGGTTACTTGTAAATATAGATTTTTCTATCTTTATAATAAGTGTGAAATATTTTATTTAAGTGTTCAATAAGTTTTATTTATATTCTTACCTATGGTCTAAAATGTTCAGTATCCTGTCTTTATTTGTTAGTGTTTATACTCTTTTAGCTAGTCAATTACTTTTTAAACTTATGAGCTCATCTTTTATTCCATCGAGCTCATCTTCTTTCTTGGTTGTAAGTTGCAAAGATCCTGAGCCCAGATTGAGGATTGAATGAGTTCATGGGACAGGAAAAAAAAGACCAGTGTGGGGAAATGAAAGGAAATGAATGAAGAAATATCATGCATATATATTACAATGTAGTTGCAATGAATTGCCATCAATTAAGTGACCACATGATTAGTACCATTCACTGTCATTTAGACATATTAAGTGTAACCAGCAAAAAGAACCACATGAAGTCATGGAAAGGTTTTAAGTAGCAGATTATCGTAGTTTGATTTATATCTTTAAAATTCACTCCTCCTGCATGGGGAAGAAAACTATAACAGCAAGGAGCTAGTTAGGCCACTGAGGTCATCCAGGCTACAGATGATGTGGCATATAGATCAGGGTAGTCATAGTGGAGAAGGAGAGAAGTAGATTGATTAGAGCATTCTTTGGAGCTACAACCAATTTCATAACATCAAAGTAATTTATTTTATTTAAAAATTATTTTTAATTACAAAAATATATTTTGTGTGTAGTATTATAAAACATTATCTCAAAGTTGTTATAAGGATTAACTGAGCTAGTATGTGTGAACTCTCACAGTAAATGAATGGGCTTTTAAATACTTATTGTTTAAGTTGCTATTTGGGGGGAGAATTTGGCAGCAATAGATAGTAAGTGGTAAAACAGGAATTAGAAGCCAGATTTTTCTAACTGTTGAAGTGTATATGCTCTTTCCACTACCCATACTGCTTCTCCAATATTTATTTAAAGGCCAATATCTTACTCTAAGTATTTTCTCACATTGTAAGATATTTAGATACTTAGAGTAAGATATATAGGATCAGCTTAGCTGTGTGACTCTGCCTCAGGATTTCTTATGAGGTTGCATTCGAGATAGTGACCAGGGGTACAGTAATCTGAAGGCTTGACTGGAACTAGAAGAACTGCCTGCAAGCTGGTTCACTCACGTAGCTCTTGGCAGGGGGCCTTAGTTTCTTACCACATTAACCTTTCCACAGGGCTGTGTTATAGACTGCATCTTTGTGTCCCCTTTACATTTATATGTTGAAATACTAGCCCCAAATGTGACTCTATTTAGAGACAGGGCCTGGGAGGAGTTGAAAAAGGTTAAATGGAGTCTTAAGGATGGGTTCCTAATATGATCAGGCCGATGCTCTTATAAAAAGACGAAGAGACACCAGAGCTCTGTCTTTATGCCATGAGGGGACCTAGCAAGAAAGTGGCTGTCTGTAAGCCAGGAAAAGACCTCTCACCAGGAACTGATAGGTTAGCACCTTGCTCTTGAACTTCCCAGTCTCCAGAACTGTGAAAAACCAATTTCTGTTGTTTAAGTCACACAGCCTGTAGTGTGAGAGACCGAGCTGATTAATACAGGCTGCTTGAATATTTTCATGACATGGCAGTTAGTGTTCCTCAGAATGAGCCATCCAAGAAAGACAGAGAACAAGTAGGAAGGCTGTCTTTTATGATCCAGTTTCAGGAGACACAAACTGATACTTCTGCCCTATTCTAAGTCACTAAATCCACCTACACTTAAGGAGAAGAGAATTAGACCTCACCTTTGCAATGGATTTCACAATATTTTAAAACCATCACAAGGCCTTTATATTAACTTCTTTTTCCTTTATGAAATGGAACCAGTATTACTGGAAAGTATTACTGGCTCCATTTCATAAAAGAAAAGGAAGTTGTACACTGAAAAGTAAGTTAGGTAAAGTGTGCATTAATATCTAACTGGCTAGGTGCCTGTTCAATAAATAATAATTTCCTTCCTTGATAATTCAGAGATAATCTCAAAGCTAAGAGATGAATGCTAGGACAGTGTGGTTCTTTTGGGTGGCCTCTAAGTATGTCTTTTATCCTTCTTATATTCATTATAACAATACTTGTATCACACAGATGTATTTTAAACCTCACTTATCTAATTTAATTAAGTTCATACATTCATTTGTGACTTTATTATTATTTTTTCTCTTTGACCTGAAAATAAAAACTCTGCTTAGTAATTTTCTGGATATATGTCAGTGATATATTTTTTTAAATTTTCTATATATAGGAGTTGTAAGGAACAAAAATTTAAATAAAAATAATGTATCTCTAATACAAGTGAAGATCAGTACTATCTAAAAATAGAAAAGAAATTCATAATTAAAACAACATTTCCGACTGTAGCCTTATTATTTTAGCATGTTTCCAGCTGTGGGTGGCTCTACATGTCTTCAGGCATAATCACATATCAGTATGCATGCAGTGATTTTCTTAATGTCCATTAATTCTTGTATAAACTCTTTGCATAAATCTGTACCAATCAGGGTGTGATTAGAACCTTATTGTGCTGCAAAATCTAACTATACTGAAGTGAGATTCAGGAATAATTTTTAACTTCTACTAAATTATTTTTTGTTCTTGCTTTTAAAAGAAATTCTTTGAACTGCAGAATTTGAATGAGATGATAATGAATACCTTATGAAGTAGGAAGCTGTCCATATCAGGAAGCCATTGTACTGATTTTTTTTAGAGGTCAGCATTTATTGTTTGAAGGAAATATTTAGAATACTTTAAAAGTTGGAATAACTATAAAGTTTCAATAGTGTTTCTTTCAATGCTTGACATAATTATTTCATTTCTAGTAAGCAATTTTTAAAAATCTGGAGTAGAAAAACACACATTACACTGAAAAGAGGTACCCCAGATCTGTGGAAGGTCTCTCTTGTCCAGGATCTCAAGAGTAAAGTCAGGAATAAACACATAAGGCCATTGATATTTGGGTAACATTTACTAGGAAATACATAATAAGTGTAATGCACAAATGTCTAAAACCCAAGAGAAGAGAGAGTTTGGTTTTGATAAATGGCAAAGTTAAGAAAGATATCATAGTTTTTTTTGAAGAAATTGTATTGGTTTGTCTTAGAAGATAGAGCCAACTGCCTGAGTGACTAAATGATTGTTAATGTTCGTTTCCATTTGGGCAGGGTTTCTGCATATTAATTTCTAAGTCTGATCCTTTTGGATTTGCTTTGCGTTTCACCCTATATAATTAGCTTGATTGTAGTAACCACTTTACTATATGTGTATGTGTATCTATATGTTCACATATAGTAAATATATATATTAAAACATTCTGCTAAACACCTTAAATTTATACAATAAAGAGTAAAACAAACAAAAACTACTACCTATATGTTTTATCTGTCTAGCCTTGATGTCTTATCTGTCTCGCCTTTCTCCTGAGATCCTGACTCATGTATAACAACCACCTGTTTATCTCTATTAGGCTATCTCATAGACTATTCGAATTCAACATTTCCAGAACAACTCTTCATCTTGAGCCCCAGATTTTCCTGCCCCTAAATTGTTTAGCTCAGTGAAGTCAAAGCCATCATCCAGCTTTTCATGTTGGAAATCTGGGCATTATGCCTGACGCTTTCCTGTTTTGTTACTTTCCCCTCTGCCCTTCCTCCTCCTTCACATACAAATTAATCACCTGATTCTATTTAGCTTATCTCCTAAATGTCTCTCTAGTCTGTCTCCTTGGCAGTCACCCTCTGGCCACTACTAGGATTAGGTTCATATTTTTTCTTTTAGTTGGTCATCTGGTTTCTCATAGTATCTTTTTCCATTTTTTCCTCTATTGTGATCAAAGTGATTTTGTTAAGTGCAAATCTGATCATGCTACTCTCATGCATAAGAATCACTGAAGCGGCTGGGCACGGTGGCTCTACCTGTAATCCCAGCACTTTGGGAGGCCGAGACGGGTGGATCACGAGGTCAGGAGATCGAGACCATCCTGGCTAACATGGTGAAACCCTGTCTCTACTAAAAAATACAAAAAACTAGCCGGGCGAGGTGGCGGGCACCTGTAGTCCCAGCTACTCGGGAGGCTGAGGCAGGAGAATGGTGTGAACCCAGGAGGTGGAGCTTGCAGTGAGCTGAGATCCGGCCACTGCCCTCCAGCCTGGGCGACAGAGGGAGACGCTGTCTCAAAACTTTCTCGTGAGGAATAAATAGGAATCACTGAGCCATGCACGCTCTCATGCTTCAGTGATTTCCATTTATTCCTCAGGTTAAAGGCCAATCTCTAGTATGGTATACAAGATCATTATGAATTGCATCCTTGCATTTCTCCTGAACCTTATTTCCTTCACTTAATTATGTGCACCTTGTTCTCTAGATATATTGTTAAGCTGTTCTTCCATGCCATGGTACACATAGTTTCTTTTCTCTCCAGTTCATAGATTTTCAGCTTGGCAAATTTGTATTCTTTCTTCAGTATGTGGCTCAGATGTCACACTTCTTCTGAGAACTTTCCAGACCCCACCAAGGAGAGTTAGATCTGCCTTCCTCTGAGTTTCAATTGCACTTTGTGTTTGTTTCTGCTATAGCATTTGTTGAATCATATGAAAATTACTTGTGTACTTGTACATTTCCTCTGTATACTGTGGGTTTCCTTAGGAGACAAAATTATAACTTACTTATC